CTTAAGAAGCATTTGTCAACGAGCTGGGTGATCGAATGGCTTACAACAGCCCCAGATGTAACGGAATCAAACGTATATAATTTGGATGGCTCACAGAAGCTTAGAATTCCCCCTTAGGAACGTTGATCGACGATTCATTGAATGCTACGTTTCGCTCATGCCGCGCTCGGCTTGTGCACGATACGGGGAAAGGAAGAAGAAAAAAATCGGCTGCCGCGAAGCGGCGGCACGCCGCACAAGACGGGTATTGTGAGGGCTTGCCGGGGCAGCAAACCTTTTCGAAGGGCCCGGGGCGTCAAGAAGCGTCACGGCGCGGAGCGCCGCGACCCGGTTTAGGCAGGCCCAGCGAAGGCGCCATGGTATTGGCATGCCGCCGCGGCCTTCAGGTTCCCGTACTGCGGCAGCGGCGACGCCTCGCGCGCCATAGCCGGCCTGCAGACGACGAACAACAAGCCCATGTTACCCGGGCCGCGCTGGGGCGGCATACCGGGGGCGGCTCAGTTGGGAGGTGGGGCTGGCGCGAAGCGACCGCGGCGCGCGGCGCGCCTGGCCCCTGCGCCGCGGCGCTGCGGCCAACGCGGCCGGAGCTCGTGCGAGCGCCAGTCGAGCGGCGGGGCTGGCGCGAAGCGGCGCGAGCCGCGCAGCTCGACTGGCCCACGCGCCGCGCCAGCCGGTGCCCTCGAGCGTCGACGGGTCGTCGGCGCGACAGGCTTGGCGCGGCACGACAGCGGCGCGCGGGATGATGCGCCGGCGAGTCGCAGGGCTAGCGCGAAGCCCTACGCGCGGCGCGGCGCGGCGTCCATGCGGCGCGGCGCGGCTGGCGCGGCCGGAGCTCTTGCACTCGCGCGCGTCGCCAGGGCCTCCGCGGCGGCCGCCGCGGACCGAGTCGCCGCGGCCTCGGCGCCGCCGACCGTGGTGCTCGGCGTCGCGCCGTCGCTCTCCGGCGCCTGCCCTCCCGCCAACACCATCCTAGTACTCGCCGCGCACGCTGGCACGCTCGCCGGCGAAGTCGCTGGGGCTGCGCGGAGGTCTGGTACAGCCCGTGGCAGCCCCGCAGATGCCTCTGGCAGCCCGCCTTCGGCTCAGGGCGCGTCGCCGCTACGCCGCGGCTCCACGGCCACTTCCGAACCCACAGATCGCCAAGGCACTGACGCAACGAGGCGTGTTTCGGGCCATGACGCCACATGCCGCCTCCGACGAGCTGAAATTAAGACCTTGGCTTGACGGGCTCCGGCCGCGTGGAGGGACCCCCGGCAGACCTCGATTTTAACGTAAACCGCGCGGAGGGACCCCCGGCAGACCTCCGGGGTGTCGGCACCTTGACGAGATGTTGACTTTCGGAGAGTCAGGTAGAGTCAGGTCCGGCTATCGACGCGGGGTCATTCCCACTTAAATGGCCACCGACACCCCGCCGACGGACGCCCGGCCGGCGAGCGTCGTCGCTCGGTTGTCCCACAGGACGCCAAGGACACTTCCCCCCAACGGCCTCTCCAGCCCCGCTAACGGCCTCCCAGCGGATAGTCCCCAGGGGCAAGTCCGGCCTCAACGTGGCCAAAGATAGCTATCGCTAGCTGCACCATGTGGCGGGATTTCCGCCTTCCGAATGAGTCACTGGCAATCGACCTCGTGGCCTTCGGCGACCTCGGCCACGTCGGCGCCTACGACAACGTCCGCGAGGGTCACATGGTCCGCGCACCGGTCGGAGCGCAAGGGCGCGGAGCTCGACGCGACGGCGCCGCCGACGGCGCCGCAGACTGGCGCGATTGACTGACGTCATAGCGACGTTAGGAAGCTAGCAAACTATCCTAACTTTCTATTCCTTTAGCTCAGGCTGCTGGGAGATACGAAAGGCCAAGTGGACGGAAACAAGATTCCATAATGGATCTCATCGTGAGCCTTTACTTCGCATTCATGATGAGCCTTTGAGTTTCAATGCTACTCGGCCCGATCGCTAATGTTCAGTAGCGGCCACGTTGCGGCGCCTCGGACGCGTCTCAGGTTTTCCGTCGGCTTCAGTTTTCCTTTTGCGGTGCCGTTCAGAGCCGCGTGGACGCATCCCCACCTGCACGGAGCACAGAGTATACAGAGTCGATGATTGACGATCTGCGATCCTCCGAAAATTTGACGTTGCTACGATGCCTAGGAATCACATCCTCCAGCAATGCGTCATTTGCGGTTTCGTGGGGAGATGTCTGCTACGTCGCCGGTGGCGTAATTGCGTTCTACTCGCCGCGACGCAATAGGCAGACCAAGTTCTGCTTTGCAGATGCACCGGTTTCGGCCCTGGCACTGAGTAGGGATAGAAAATTAGTTTGTGCAGGGGTGAAAACAGTACCTGCGTCTCTACTCGTCTTCGACGCATCAACTTGCGTAATTGTGGAACGCTTTGAGAGTGAGCGTGCTGTCTGCGTCAATGCTATTGCTTTTTGCCCCGACGGCGAGATGATTGCGTCTGCCGCTTTACTGCGCGGTGACTGCTCGCTGACAGTAAACTGGCGAAATTCCCAGCATCCTGTTCGTGTGCACACATTACCGACCGGGTCCCATTCCCCAGCCAATCCCCAAATTTACTATGCAGGTGCTGGGTGACGCTTCTCTCCATGGTGGCAAAGTAAAATGTGTGATCTGGACAGCAGAATGGTTGATATCATGTGGGATTGCGGGTGTGATGTTCTGGGATGCTCGTTGTCTCGAGCTTGTACGCCAATGCGCATGTCCTAGCCCGCTGTGCGATTTGGCGCTATGGGGTTGCTATGCTTTTGGAATTTCCGCCTCAGGAAGCCTGCTCCTATTCAAACCTAAGTGCACAAGAATACTTCCCCTTGATGCGGAGGTATTTGCACTATCATGTGTGGGTGAACTTGTTGTTGTTGGTTGTACTGCGGGCATCGTACGTTTGTTTCAGATGGCAACTCTGGCATATGTGGGTGACTTACCACGCCCCCCCCCGCTCGGCTTGCAAAATGCAACCTCGCAGCGAGATTTGCTGGCTGATGATGATCAACCGCAAAGCTATCCATCTACACTGTGCGTGCGGCTTCTGTGCGATGGCACATCGACCCGAGTTGCTGCCGCCTATGCAGACCGATCCTTGCTTGTCTGGGATGTGGAGATTCCATATGCGGGAGTCAAGTATCGTTCCTTTCTTCACCATTCAAGTTGCATTTGGGATCTCAAATGCTTCGAGAAGAAAACCAAGGATGACTCACCTGGTCTATCGTCGACCATCTCAGAGTAGCTCGCTTCCAATCCATCGAAGGATCTGACTTAGACTCCTTCAGGTCATTTCCCAATGGCACGTTCGTCACTTGCTCTTCTGACTTGACAGTTCGATTTTGGGATCTCGAAGCAGCGACAACCGGAAAGCACGGACTCTCGAAGCTAAGACACAAAACACGCAGGAATATATTCTCCCGTGAGCTCCTTCGCGTCTTGGCTTTGGATAATATCAACGAGAAGTCTATAATGTACAACAAGCCGCGAACACTTGCATTGCGCTCGGGTGGCCTTGAAGTTGCAGTTGGAGTTGAATCAGGAAAGATTGCAAAGAACATCCGTGTGCACGTGTACTCGTGTATTCTAACTTGGAACTCTGCAAGCTTTCGAGTAGTAACATCTCCGTAGGTGATCTTTGATGCAGCCTCCATTGTGGCAACGCATACTATCCAGGCTCACACTGCTGAGGTACTTCGCGTTTCATATTCACGCCAGGCGCTACTAGCGTCTGCTGGAAGAGATGGCCTTGTTCGCATATTTGATGGTACGCGAGGTTACTCACTTCTTCAGAAGCTCGAAAATCATGGAGCAAATATGCCCACCACGTCACTTGCCTTTGCGGTAGATGGCACAAAATTGGTCACCATTGGTGGCGACGCAACGCTTTCTCTTTGTACTGTTGACAAATCCCTCCGCATGCCTGTCACCAAATTTCGGCGAGTGAGGACACGACCCATATTTGGCACAGCCTATGACGTTGCGGTCGATGCGACGGCCAAATACGCTATCTGTGCGGGGCCCGATGCTAGACTGGACGTTCGCTCCCTTCTGACAGGCAAGCGTGTCCGAAGCTATGAACTCGCGGATGCAAACGCCACCAAGTTTGATGTGTACCGACTATGTGTGGATAACGCTGGCGTTCATGCCGCATGTTGCTACTTCAATGGTGTGGTTCGCCTCTTTGACTTCTACTCTGGCTCTTGCCTAGCCACAACCAATGGGCATGGTGATCTTGTCACCTGTCTTACATTTTCAGCAGATGGATCCAAGCTTTTGACTGCTGGCAGTGATGGTTGTGTCCACACCTGGGGCTTGACACCGGAGCTAGTTCGAATCGCAACAGAGAGAGACTCTGAACTCAGGGCTGCTCAATGCCAGAAGAAAGAAGCCTCAAATGTACCCACATGGGCGCAGACCTATTGTCAAAGAGACAGCGACTTAGCAAGACTAGAGACTGTTTCGTCAGCCGGCGGACTCGGGGCGGGAAACTTGTCCGTCTACTCAAATAAACCTGTGACGAAATCGAAATCTTCGCCTCAAGGCAGTGGAATTGCTCCAGCGAATTCTCGTTGCGAAGAATCAATGCCAATGTGGCCGACAGTTGAAGTGCATGGAACTTCAGTCTTATTACCAGTCACCAGCCGCTTAGATGAGCAACATCAGGTCTACGCCGTGGCTCCGTCGCTTCGCCAGGAGCGATCTGCCTTGCGGAGTCGCCAAAGAGGGCAGGAGACAACTATTGCTGTTAGAGGCGGAGTATTAGGAGTGCGCATATAAAATTAGGAGTAGGCGACAAAATCTACTTTAGGTCGAAAACATGCGCGCACGACTTGCAGCGATGGGTATTCTAAAAGGCGACCATGTGCATGGAAAAAAAAAAATGGACAGGTCAAGAGATGAAAAATCGGCAGTAACCGTGTTGCAGCCACGGGAGGCGCATGATGATGCTTTGTCTGCTTTAAAGCTTGAGATGAATCAAGCGTTGCGTTTATATTCAGGCCTGTCTGCTGCTGCATCTTGCATATTGGTTTCAAACGGCAGCACCGGAGTTGAATCGACATGTGCAAGTGCAGCACATCTGTTATCAAGCTACCGCAACGCGTTTGAAAATATTCAGAAGCTTCTGGCTAGGACTGAGCCACACAGACATTGTTTTAAGATGGGTTCCGATAATCTTCCTTATATGCAAGAAGTCGCAGGTCCAAGTATGAAGTCCACCATCCGCCCTATATTGGAGCATTATTCTAGCCTCCTTCTGCGCCTCATGGAAGAAAAGTTGGCTTCATTAGAAGGGTAACATAGTCGTTCGAACCGGACGCCTTTTGTGGCAGGCCTGTGGCTGTGCATTGCACAGTTCGACGTACCTAAACAGCAGGAAATCGATCCCGCCATGGCGTTCTCTCTTTACATTTCCAAAAAAACGGGTACAACCTAGGGGCGCCGCAGGCCACGCACACACAAAATTTTGACACTGAAGACTGCTCCTTCTCGCCACTCGGCGCCGCGCCGCCGCCGTCGCTCACGCGCATGCCCTCGTTAAAGGGGCAGCGCAAGGGGCGGCGTTCGTCGCAGTCTTCGTCGCTTGATCGTCAAGGCTGCTCCGCTCCTGAACGGGGCGGGCGTGCGGGCGACATGCCTGCGCGCGAGTGCTGCTCACTGACGTCTATCAGATGCCGGGGTCTAGGCGCCTGGGGGGCACGGGCCGTAAGTTGAAGTGGATACCCTGATCTCCAACACAAACTTTGTGGGAGATCCTAGCTTCCAGAGGACTAGAGGCGGCCTCTCTGCACGAGTGTTTTAGCGGCAGCCGATTGAAGGGCCGCCTTCAGTGACGGTCGCATGAGCTGGTGGTAGGGTTTTGGAAGGGTTTTCGGACGTCGGGAAAGGGTTTTGGACGGTTTCTTTTGGCTCGGCCGGGGTCGAGGACAAAGGTTTTCGCTCAAAAATTTCTATGCCGCTTCGCGCCGAAAGAAAATTCTGCGGTTTTTGAAGGGCTTCGGCCTGGGCGAGAGGGCTTTCAACTAAGGATGTGGACGATATCTAAGGTTTTCATAACCGCAAGACCTATTTGTGACCTTCACTGGGCCCGCCTTCGAGGGCCTCGCTCCGCAAATATGCAGCGATGTGCAACGATCTCTGTACAGGTAATATTCGATTAGCCAGGGAGTAGCGTCCAAAGGAGAGAATGGGCTGCTATTTATTATTGCAGCCCATTCGACACTCGCCCCTTATGCTCTTACTTGGCCGGCGTTGCTCTCTCCAGCTTTTTGTTCTTCCGCCGTCCTAAGTTCTATCGACACCCGTATCTCTTCTGCCAGCCGCTGTGGCTCTTGCAATCCAGCTGACATGATTTCCCCTCAATGTCCGCGCTTCGGCGAGTGTCGGGCAGCTTTTGGGCGTCGAAGACCGCAGAGCATCACGTAGGAGCTCTAGGATGTCGAGGCGCCCATCGGAACACAGCGACGGTGATCGGTCGACGCGAAACACTGCGTACAGCACCCGAAACCCTTCGTTTAAGGCAATGTGGAGATCTTCAGGCTGCAGAACAGCTCTACAAGCGCGTCGCCGTGGCCCAGAATGCGTCCGAGGGGTCCACCGATATATACCGCTAGTACAGCGAGCTTTGGCACGGCGAGCGCAGCGTCTACAGCTCGAACACAATCGGTCGGGCGCTCGTCGGGAACGCGCCCGAGGTCTCGAAATCGGGCGTCCAGAATCGCACGCTCGACACCCAGAGTAAGCGTTCACGCGTTCAATACCCAACAGGCAATGCAGCCGCAGTTTTATATGAGCGAGAATTCGCGTCGCCCGGCCACCAGCGTCTGCGCCGCGGCTGTCGACCGCCAACCGTTGGCCGTCTCGCACCGCACGGCGTCGAAAGAAAATGGGGGCCCGCTGGCGCATGGACAGTGGCTCTCGGAAATCGGCATCCCCGCGGCCCCGTTCGATGATCCCGAGCCGCTAGAGCTGAGCAAAGACACAGAGCAGCGACCATAGCCGCTTCAAATCCAAAATGTGGCAGCACGGTCGACCCCGGCCACCGTGGGACGTTGCTAATTGCGCCCCGATTTCCGATGCTATGGCCCGGCCCCGAGGCTGCGCGCTGGACGGCGTGCCTTGGCTTCCGGTCGCGACGCTCGTCGCGGCCCTGGCGTGGCGCCCGCGGCGCACGGTGCGCGCTGGGCAGCCCTCGTCGGGCCGTGGGCGGCGGCGGCGGCGCGGGTCGGGCTGCCACGCGGTAGGCGTCTGGTCGAGGACTGGCGCCACTGCGGCGACGCGCGGTTGTTCCGACACGTTCTCCGGCGTCTATGCCGGCGGGGTTCTCGCGCGCGAGGGCGCGGGGCCGCCCAATGGCGATGACTTCTTTTTTTGAGAGTTTTAACGAATGCTCGCACCTGCTCATCGCGGTCGTCGCGCCGAGGTCCGATTTGAAGAACGATCGCCGCAGCTGCGACGCCTCGCGCGCCGCGTGCGGGGTGGCGTCCCCTGGCGGAAGGACTACCAGGCTATCGCCACCGTCATCGTGACCGCCGCGCCGCGCCTCCCTGCCGCGGCAGTTGGAATTCCACTGGGACGTCGCCTACCAATGATGTAGTAGCCATCTAGTACAAACTACCCCGGGCGAGTGTGATGCCCAGTGTTCGAGTGGGTGTGATGCTCAGGTGTGTGATGCCCACGCGTCACTAGATTGGCCAGGCTACCCTTTACTAAAATGGGCACTTGAAGTTAAAACTAACCCCGCTGACTAACTAACACCGACACCACCACACACACCGACGTACCAGGAAAGTAACCGTGACTTGAACAAGGAGAGAGAGGGAAGAGAAAGATCATGATACCAAGGTACAATGGGGCCCAAACTAGAAAGCGTCGAATTTCCCGCGTTCGGGTCTCGCCAGGATTTGCGGGCCATTCGCACTCTCCTGGGAGCCCACAATGTCGCATTCATTCACTCACAAGCCAGAAGTTGCGCGAGGAGGCACTGGCGAGGCATCTGAGAGTAGATTTAGGCGAAAATGAGCCATTTTGGCCCTCTACAGGCGGTCCGGGCGCTCTCTACAGCGATCTGGCGGTCCGCGGCGGCGGCCGGGACCGTCGATGGACGCGCGTGCCGCAAGAACCCCGAGCGGAGCCCGGACACGGTCGCAATAGGCCGCGGCGGCCATCCGCCGCTTCTCGGCCGATGCGCTCTCGGCGACCGTCGGGCACCTTGTGGGCGTCGGAGGCGGCGTAGATCGCCGTGCAGGAGCTCCAGGATGTCGAACCGCCCGGCCTATCACAGCAGCGGTGATCGATCGGCATGAAACGCTGCGCGCGGCCCCAGAATCAGTCGTTTTCGGGCTATTTCAGACCCGAATCAGGTCTACGTCGTCGTCGTCGCAGCTCTGAACAGCTCCGACGCCCCCGACAGCCGGCCCGATGTACCCGAAGTCCTTGGACGCTGTCAACCCTTTCGTCGTGCGCCGAGGCCGCGACGACGTCCGCGACGACCTCCGACGACGTCTTTACCGACGCGTCCGCGGAAGGCCTCCTCGCGTTCGCGGCGCCCCCAGACCTCCTCCACCGCTCCTCGGCGTCGCCCATCGATACCGTCGAAGCGCCGAACCACGTAGCCGACCCGAAGGCAGCGTTCCCGGGCCGCTAGGCCGTCGACCGATGGTCTTCGAAGATCACGGCGAATTGCGCCGGAGCCGCGTTTCGCGCGAAACCGGTCTCGTCGAGCGCTGTAAGCTGTGGCGCACAGCCCTAGGGTCCCACTACCGAACGGACCCGGCCGCGCGCCCGGAGGTGGCCGCTGGACCGCGCGCGCGGCGCGGCAAGGTCAGCATTTGCCACTAATTGACGGTACCTAGGCGAACCAGCGGCTAGCTGACAGCTAGGCTGACAGCTAACCGCCGCAGCGTAGGTTGGTTTTGGAGGAGCACACCAGGGGCGCAGTATTCGCGTCCGACTTTTATTGGAGGCCGGAGGTTTGATAGACGCCTTGGTAGGTACAAGCCGGCCTACGGCCGGCAAGCTCGCTTCGCGAGCTATTGGCCACTCGTTTGATGGAGGTTGCTCGCTGCGCTCGCTTTAAACCACTCATTGAAAGTTTTATGTTGCTGCTCGGACGGACGCTCCGCGCGACTGCACAATAGTATATAAATGCCGGGCGACGGACAGGAGATTCGTCGCAAGTATCAAAAGATTCGACAGCACACACTATCCTGATCAGCACACACAAGACGCCTACGGCATCTTGCCGCTGCCGGGGGGGCTAGCTTGCGGCGCGGCGCGAGCGCGCCGGGGGGGCTAGCTTGCGGCGCGGCGCGAGCGCGCCCGAAGGGCGCG